CATGCCTCCCGCTCCAAAATAATCTAATGACTCTATAAAGGCAGTGAGTCTATGTTAACTAAATGAAATACGAAGTCTCTGAATTTTTAAGCGTATGTTAGATTAAAAAAAAATAATAATAAAAAAAAAAAAACTTTTAAGGGAAATTTTTCCTTTGCTGACGATGAGAAAAAGTGTTAAAATTTTTTTTAAAAGCACTCATTGAAAGCAATAAGCTTATATTATAGGTTTTCCTTGTTTTGGTAAATTTCAATACCCTCCAAACAAATCCTGACAAACCTATACAAAATCCTAACAGATGTAAAGCGAATTATCGCTAAGTCTGAAACTTTCTGGACCCTTGTCATAGTGATAAAAGTAAAGTAAGAGTCTGTTTCAATTTAAAACGTAGGCTAGTAGCCAGAGACTACACAATTAAATTTAAATCTAAGCTGGATCAGGACTTCTACGTCGGCAGCAATAACGCGAAGCCGAATAATTACAAACTTACCGGAGCTGGAAGGAATTAACGTAACAAGCCAACGAAAGGCAAAACCACGCTCTGTCTTACAATCCATAACCTCAGCTTAAATACCATCAAACTGGTCTGCATTCTGGTGAGGAAACGAAAAAGACTGGTTCCAGTACAAGCTGAGATTATGAATGACAGGTTAGTTTCAAATAATAACCTTATAACAGGATCACAAACGCACAGAGCGGAATGGATGATGGCGCATAGACAAATTACAGGGAACCCGAATGATAAATATATGTTTATGTCTCAATTATAAGAAAGTTTTATTCCCTAGCCACAGCGTTCTTCCAGGAAATCTCAACAAAAATTTCCCCAGTTTTTACAGAAAGACTATCATGAGTTTGAGTATGATTTGGGGGCTTTTTACATACCGAACCCTAGTCTTGGGTCATAAGCTTGAGGATGATTTGTAGGGTTTTTTATGTACTGGACCCTAGTCATCAAGCACTAAAAATGGTCTTAATATTTCAAGACGATGTCAATATTCTGAAGTGCTTTCATACATCACAGGCCTCATGAGATTCCACGATAGAGGAAATTAAAAACTGGCTTTCCTATGGTCATTACGATGATTTTGGATGCCATTTAATTAATTACAGAAGCCATAATTGTTGACGGTATCGCAAAAGAAGTTATCGGTGATGATAATAGCGGATGAAGATGTTGGTCTTAGCTGTATCCGGGATAGAACGACAGGAATAATTAACGTTAATTAAATTAAAGTAGGAAAAATGAAAAATTAGCAAACGGCTTCACCGGGAACGGAACCACGGACCTCTGGAATACCGGTCCAGCGTGCAGAACCACTACACCACGAAGGCACGCTAGGACCAAGGACCAAGGCGTTTGAATTACGGAGTACCTTTGCAAGTTATTGCAATTACCTCCACATCTTCGTTCAGAGAAATGAAGTAATTAAGAGAGAAGCATTCGCTAAAGTTGATGAAAGAGCAGATACGCAAAAATCAAGAATCGTTGAGAGTCCTCGTGTTTGGACACAGGAGGAGAGAACAAGCGTTTATCACAATTGAAGGCGTTTAGCCCCCCGTCGTGAGTCAACTGCTTGCGCTCGATAACAAAAGAGGGTGGCACGTGGTTGCGGTGAATCAAGGGTTGGCTTTCGCCTGGTACATCGATTGAATTTTCACTAATTGCCGCGTGAAGCGGAAGGCGGGAGAAATACCTTATATAGTTGCTACAGATTTAAACGACTAGGCAAGACTGCGCGAATGCTTGTATCTTCCAAACTACAAATATTACCATCCACCTCAATACATCATCAGACAGATAAAAGAGCACACACTTACAAAATTAAAATTGGGCTCCATGGACTTATGGCAAGGTCGTCTCGTATACAAAAGCGAGTAGATAGTCAGTTTGTTCGAGTAGTGCTTGCTGTATTTTATTTCGCCAAGCTAGTGGGGTTGCGATTTTGAGAAATGTAGCAAATTGTGTACCGACATAACGCAGAATACAGGTTTCACAAGTAGGCGATATTTGCATGGTTGATGTAATTGTTAATGGACAGTTAAGATTGATTCTAGTATCCGTACATATGTGTGAAGATGCTCTTGTTTAGGGCATTGACGAAATACTCTGAGAGTACTTTATCGATCGACGATAAGTTTACTGTAGATACACATGTTCCTACAAGGTCCGGGTATTCATTTCCAGGACTGACGTAACTGTAGGAGAACGAAAAGTCGGAAGATGGCGCTAATGATTGCATATTGAAGAACGTTTTCTTGCGCATGTGCAGTGCAATCGGCGCCATTCTGAAGCAAGTGGTTCTCGTGGAAAGGCGCATTAAAACGTAGCTCTTAAATTCCTATTGTCGAAGTGAAACTGGAGCAAAGAATTAACATTAAATTTTGCTTCAAATTGCGCAAGACAGCTGCGGAAACCTACAAAATGTTAAAACAAGTTTACGGCGAGGAAGCATTATCCTGCTCAAGAACTTTTGAATGGTACTCGCCAAGGAATTGAACATGGACAAAGAGACGGTTCGGCGAATTTTGACGCAAGACCTAGGTAAACGCAAGATTTGTTCCAGATTCGTTCCTCACCATTTAAGGGACGAACAAAAGCAATAGAGATTGGGCGCATATGGCGAACTTATCGACAACGCTGATGCACCCTGCGTTCCTGGATAGGATAGTCACGGGAGACTAGTCTTGGTGTTATCAATATGATCTTGAAACCAAGCATCCGAATGGCAGCCTCCAAGTTCACCAAGGCAGAAAAAATTTCGATTTGAAAAGTCCAAAATCAAGGTCATGTTAATCGCTTTCTTCGATTGCGATGGACTCTTCATCATGAATTTCTTCCTCCTAACATGATTATCAATGGACAGTTCTACACAGAAGTTCTTGACCGACTTCGAAAGCGAATTCGTAGAGTTGCAAGCATCCTAAGTTTTACTAACGTTTATTTTATTTTAAATCTTTACTATCACTTCTTATTTTCTACTTCCGGCCAGTATTAAAAGCTTTTAACTTATTTATGCAAATTTGTCTTGCTAACGCCAAGTACTTAATGTGGCTTTTTGCCAAGCAAGAGAGAGGAAGGAGTTATTATAAGCAGGCCGCTTGCCATAGTAGTTTTACTCGGTTGCTGGTTGCCTTCAAGGCCAGAGGTTTAATCCTCGTGATAATTTTAAACGTATCGTGTTTTAGCAGCTCTCTGTACTACATACAGCTTTTTGTTAATTTACGGCCAGTCTTAAAGTAGCCTTGTATATTAATCCAAAGTTAGTTTAGTTAGAGTTTAGTTAGTATTTTTATATTCTTACGTTCAAACCACAAGTGGTTGGTCTCTGTATTCCGAAGTTCCGGAAATCATTGTAAAGATAGAAAAATAAATGGTTTCGTATACCCTTCCTGTGTGTATTGTCTACTTCACAATTTATTGAACATAGCTTGAGTAAGCTCCCTGTTCCGAGTCAGGACAGTTAATGTTTCCAAAGCAAGTAAAGAGGAATAGTAATCATGATAGAGTGAGGCCTCATTTTCAACAGAATGGGAGTTGGCTGCTGCTACATGACAATGCCCGCCCACACATTGCATTGCCTGTGAGGCGATTCTTAGCCCTTGTCGTTGAAATGCAGCATCCACCATACTCTCCAGACCTAGCACCCGCAGACTTTTTCCTGTCTCCTAAGCTGAAAAATTCGCTGAAGGGAACAAGATTTCAGGATGTCGAAGCCATCAAGAAAACTGTAACGTTACTATTAAAGAGCATTCCAAAAGAGGACTTGTAAAACTTCTTTCCGAAATTTGAACAACCGAGCACAGATGTGCATTACGGCTGATGGGGATTACTTTGAATCATATTAAATGGCTATGTATTTAAACTTTTTTTCTTCTGAGTTATACCCCGAGTCCTGGAAATTAATAGCCGGACCTTGTATTATGATAATGGGAGATTGCAATGTAGACGTCACGCGAAATGAAAAGGCACTTGATTTTATGAAACATCATTGGTGTCCAGTAACTTATCCAAGTACATTTGGGAAACATTTACTAGGAATATAACTGCAGACATCCTAAACTATGTATCTTATTTCTCATACCATCGACCAGTTTTACATAGGGTTATTTTGAATGAATAAATGTGTAGAGAAATTAGGCTTTTTTAAAGCAAGAGGCATGAAAAATAAGTAATGTCCTCCCCGGGACTCGAACCTGGACCTCTCGAATACGCGCCGAGTGTGCTAACCTTTACATGACGAAGGCACACTTCAAGGAGACAGAAAATAATAAATAAAATGAAATGTATGTTGTGTGTGAAATCCTTTATTCGTTTTATTTGTCCTATAACATTCTCACACTTCCGTTAGTAACCTTACGCATTAAAGCCTAGCAGTTCTTTAAACTAAAAGACAGAGCCTACCGTTAATTTTTTTCGAATACCTAGATGTGTTGTAGTGGCATTTAATCCGAATAACTGAAGTTCTACTGTAAATTTTTTATGGAAAGGTATAAAATAAAAGACATATATACAGCATATAGACAAATTTTTTTAGCTAAGACATGCTGAGAATAAATAGCTCGGAAAATTTATCCTTTTTATAAGTTATTTTGTTTCATAAAATGACAACGAATTTCCCTTCAGTGATATTTGACCAATAATTTTTGCGCAAACTCCGTTGAACCCCCTTCGGAAATGTTTATATGTTTTCTACTTTCAAATAATTATGCTTAAAAACTGTGCAAAAATTGTCGTCAAAAGACGCCAATTAATATACGCGAAACTTAATTCTCTATTCCTGGTACCAAACTGCACATGATTTATTTTTTTCTGAAATAATTAAGGCGCAGTTTTTTTACCCGTAGTGAATATTTTATTAATTAAATTTCTCTAGGTCTTTTCGTTTGTCTGGAAGCAACATGCAATGAAGTGTAAAAAGCAACATTCCCCCCCCCACCGCTAAAAGTTAAATTAACAAAAATGAAAGAAAATAAAAAAGGTCACGGTAGGTACTAACCTGTTGGAATAGAAGGTTTATCGCCACTCGAGGAATTGGTCACTTCTTGAGGCATTTTATTATAATTCTCTAATTCCAAATCAGCATCGACGTTATGCAGTGCAGGAACGGGATCACGATCTTCTTCTTTTACACTTGAATATTCCTTTGATTTGAGCTCTTTGACACTTGAGTATTCCTTTGATTTGAGCTCTTTGACACTTGAGTATTCCTTTAATTTGAGCTCTTTTACACTTGAATATTCCGTTGATTTGAGCTCAGTATTGGGAAAATGTTGCTTAGATTCCTTCAAATCTGTATTAACCGCGTGAGCCGATTCATTCGCAGGTGATATAAACACATTTAGCGACCGGTGAATGACTTTATTATCGTCTGTTTCGGCATTAGGTTTTGAATCGCTTACATGAACCGCGGTAACACATCGGAAATCATAAATAACTTTATGAAATACTTTTCTCTGGAATACCTTAGGGTTTTCTCTAATTTCTCGTCTCTTCCGCCTAGTAACCGTCTGTTTTTTATTTACTACACCTACAGACAGCAAGCATTGTTAAGATCAGTTAGGGTACTACATGATAATCAAAACTTATGAAACTATACATATCACGATAAGTAATGATACTAAGTATACATATCACGATAAGTAATGATACTATAATACCACATATGCATATGCTGCAGAAAACACCCAAAAATAGCAGTAACAGGTCAAAAACGCAAAAACAACCACAATATATATTTGAAGACAAAACGCGCAGCAGGTAGTATACGAATATGAAGGTTGTATGGAAAGTAATGCTAAAGTCACCTTAACGTTTTTCTTCCTTGTACGAAGTAAAAAGGAAGTATTGTAATCGCGAAAAGTTTCAGGCATCATATTTCAACGCAAATATCCAATTTCTTCCTTACCAGACTTTTTATGCAGAAGATAAAGAAGGAATCTCTAGTGGTTAACAATGCGCATGCAAACAATTGTTACAAACAAATTATAAATCTTAAATCATAATTTAGGGATAGACAGAAAGAAAAAACAGACCGAATTTTATGAATACGAGTGTCCGTTTTGGCACAATAAGTATAGTGTTTTGAATGATTTAGAATTCTGAAAAAATAATTACAGCGTCAAAACGATAGATTAAATATTTTAAAACATTTGACAAACGAAAAAGGCAGAACAAATCGGCAGGAATTGACTTCACGTATAAGAAAATATAAAGTATGCATCAGAAAGATAAGAAACACAAACAAAAATCAAAACTGAAACACTAAAATTAAACAACAAAACTGGCAAAAGAATTTTAAGGTACGACCATGAAAGATCTTAAAAAATCGAAAAAAACAATAAATTAAAAAACAAAAATGAGTTCGATTCTGGTTTAATGGCCTTTCTCTTTAAAATAATAGGGAACACGAATATAGAACAAATAAATAAATACACAAATACTGTATTTTCTCACGCCTTTCCCTTCCTAGCTATTTATTGAAAAGTTCTGAAAAATTAAAAAAATATTCGCTTAAATTTGCTTCATTCAACGCGTTAAAAGAACAAGCTCCCATAAATTTTTAAAATGGATTCATACCTGTAGTGATTTTTTTCGTCTTACTAAAAGATGAACTTTCGCGAACTACCTGCGAAGGTCACGTCAAACATTTCCCTTTTAACCATTCAACATTTGCCAGTCTAATACAATAAACCAACCCAGCACAGCGAAGCAAACACGAACTGTCACTCAGTATACGATTTTGGCGAATGAGCTGCAGATTCTCATTCTCAAACTATTTATGGATGATTTGAGGCTTAAGTAGAATAAGGAGTAGTATAGACAAGAATATGAACGGCAAAGATTCAAGTTACAGGAAAGTAGAAATGATGATTGTATTACTATATACTTTAATGTTAATATTAATCTCTATAATAATAATTATTATTATTAGAATAAAATAATAATAATAATAAATAATAAAATCATTAGAATAATAATAATTATTATTAAATAATAAATAATATAAAATATAATAATAATAAAATAATCCATAATAAAATAATAATATTATTATTAGACTTAAATTTCTTTTAAAGAAATAATATTATGATAGTTATCTGTAATGTATGTATGATTTCTTGGTATTTGTTATGTTCACACTATAACCGCGTTCATCAGAAATTCAATTTTTCACATAATTATCCCTCTCGATTTTCGTTAGTAAAATTATTAAAAATAGAGGGAGTAAGCATGGAAATACGGTAAAATTATTTTGAAAAAATACTGAAGAAGTAAAGCCAACCGCAAAATGGGAATATTTGGGTCAGTCAAATAAACATTTGCAACGGAATAAATCATTCCGAAAAAATTTCATTACTGAAAAATTTCGTCCGTAACCCGAAAATTCTCATAATGGAAATAGATATTTTGTCTCATTTTTGGCGTGAATTTTGGATTTTTAGTTACACAATTAATGTTAAATATGGTACCCCAAGCACATTACCTTATGATAAAATTCAGATACCGCTCTTTGTAAAGATACAAATATGTACAATAAGGAATGTAATAATTATTATTACTGTCCCTTATTGTAGTGCTGTGTATTGTTTTGCTTAGTTATTTATTTATTTGTTGCATTTAGGAAAATAATTTTAAAATTCATTTTATTTGTTTAATCGAATTTGCGGCCAATGTTTTGTATTTAAGTGTTTATTTTTTATACAGACAGCACTTTGAATCTTTCAATTCTGATTATAACAAAGTTTGAATAGTAAAAATACCTCAAATAGAACGCGAGATACGGACCAATTCATTTCTGACGTGTCTTTGAGACATTTGATGATTTTTCGATAACAACGACTTTTTGAAGATTCGGAAAAACACATTTTCAATGCCCAAACACTGATTTTTCGGTAAAAGTCGCTGAAGACAGGTAGTTCGATCCGAGGTTCGAATCCCGCGAGTGGGCAGTTTTTGTGGTTTTCCCCATATATACCATGCGGCATAGGCTCTGGAAACTTCTGGAAAAATTCAGTCGTAGGTCTTCAAAATTGTGTTTTCGCGAATATTCCAGAAAGTCGGTAAGTTGGCGACAGACCACCAAATGTCACCTAGAGCCCTTAGGAACGAAATTAACTGTATTTGGAGTTCTAATTGGTCTACATTTACGATTCCAAAGCCGTTTCAGTCAGAATTCAAATATCTACAATTGTATGCAACGAATAAACACTTAAATTCAAGTCATATGGACAGAAATTAGATCAAACCCAAAAATAACCCTTACAATTTCCAGTCAATAAATAAATGAAACAATACAAAATATAACAGCAATATAGGAAATAAAAAAAATTAGGATTAAAAAATTTACAACAAAATTATTAACTGATTAAAACTATTGTGAAATTTTGCCATCTAATGTTAAATCACCATCGGCTTATAGATGAAATGCACAACCAATCGAAAGAACCAGATAGATCCTCCCCCCCCCCATCTTTAAACAGCTGTATTCCAAAACAACCGGATGCCCTTACAAAACAGGGCCTCTGAAGCTTCAGAGGTGCGTTCAAGGGACACCATTTTTTGTGTGATATTGTGTAGGATCTCTAGCATTCTTTTCATCCACTGTTCTACATTAACTTGTACTTACACCGGTCTCTTTCTACCATCATCTTCAGGTACGAAGTAGGATTGCATAACCTAGTTTTACGAAAATATTTCTTGTCTTTGCACGTTTAAATGACCGAACAACTATTTACTGATTTAATAAAAGTTCATCACTAAACAAGTGAGTAAGATCCGGGAATTTTACTAGACGTACCTGCGTTCGAATTCCGGGGAACGGGTTACCTGTGCGTGATTTTCATGAATTTCGGTGTGTGTAATGCAAATAGATCAGCTTCTCTTAGAAAGTTTACCACGAAAGCATATCTAACTTTACCCATTGCTTGCTTCGGCGTAATCAATCAACCAAATGACTAAAATATATTTGATTATCGCTTGGCTCTTCTCTGAAAAACAAATGGAAGGCGGCTAGCTTTCTTTGGTGAAGTTAAAAGGCGACATTTTCCCCTGCGTCTCTGGCTATAAATATTAATAAAATCACCTATTGCATTGGTATTTTAGTATTAAACACTGTTATAGAGATAACAATACGATTTTTTTTAATAATAACGGATTAATTATTTTTTCTTTATTTCTTTCTGGAAATGTTCTTTGATATATGGCGAAGGATCTGGCACGAACAAATGACATATACCGCGGTAACATACTACTTTCGTAAATAAAATCAGCTCCTAAATACGGTGACGTCATCTGCTATAGATGTTGTTACCCCGCTGCCATCTTCTTTTGGTATTTCCCATATAAATGTTGCTTTATTCTGATAGACGGCGATAGCAATTTTTTCCATTGTCGCACAAAAAAGAAACAAACTTTTTAGTTCTTTGCACGAATAAAGGCAGTACTATCGTATTCCAACGAAAATATCCATTTTGACCGTTCTGAATCTATCGTAATGATGCCTTTGCGTGACATTTGTACAGACGGACAGAATAAAGGTCTCTTTTTTCTAAAACCGATTATAAAATGGATTAAAAATGGATTCAGAAGAGATTTTTTTTTCATGACGTCTGTACATACGTACGTATGTATCTCGCATAACTTTAAAAAAAAAGAGTAGCCTGAGAACGTTGAAATTTTGTATATGGAATTACTATAACACGTAGTTATGCACCTCCCTTTTTGGTTACAATCGGTCGTACCAAACGTCTTCATATATATATATATATATATATACACTCACCTCACTCTATTACCCGCCTGGGTGAGCTCAGGTTTTTATTCTTATATGTCGGTAAATTGTGCATTTTTTGATTTAAAAGTGATTGAATTGTGTTGCTCTTATCTTTCGGTGAAGCTTTTTATGCCTTTATTTAATCTGCATGCAATTGTTGTGTAATTGTCAACAATTTAAAAGTTATTTAAGTGCTACTAAGCCTAACGAAACAGCCATTCGTTAACATTTGAAACACTTAGTAGAACAGTGAATTCAGTTTGTGCACCAACTTCAGTGTCTTTTTGCCCAGTGGGACCAAAAGTTAACTTTCAATTTTTTGACCCGAAAAATCTGTCTTTCTGCCCTTTGGCCGAATTGCTTGTTTTGCTTAGAAACTAATTTTAATTGTAAAAATTGCTTTTTAAACTATTAAACTGTTTCTGGTGTTTTTCTGTATTTGACAATTTTTAGCGAAAATATATTGTAGTTTTATGCATTTTTGACTTGCCGAAAAGTAAGAGCTGAACTAATGAAATGAGACATATATCTCTAATGAAACTCGAGGAAATAAGTTTAAACGAAATACCTATAAAATGTGTGAAATTTAATAGGCCGTACAAGGAAGTCATGTGGTGTCCGCATCAGACTTTTTTTTTACACAAGGTTCAGTTAATATGTTGCTTGTTAATCAGAAGTTGACCATAATACATTTTGTCCGGAACAAAAATCAAATTTCATGATGATTAAAGTTAGTGAACTCACCATAATCAGTCTCAATAGACATCAATCAATATGGCGTACACGTCTGTTTTTAATTGAATAAATTATACGTGTAGAATTTCAACTTTTAATCCATTCTTTCATCATCTGTCATTCATTTATCATTCACCTATCCATAGCCCAGACACCGCAAGAAATGATTCTTTTTGCATCATGAATCGAACGTGGCAGTCACACCCAATGAGATATAGCCATTTCCATAGACGGTGACCCTTCCCTATTATCACTCGACAAACAGAATGGGACCGCTAAAATTTCACTGTACTACATACTTCAAAAATGAAGGTCAACAAGAGAAATTTGCATATTTCTCAGCAGCACAACAGAAGAGAACAAAAGAAGAAGGAGAAAAAGTTGGATGCCCCTTTTTCGGAAGGGTAGAAAGAGGTGAAGGCATCAAACTCAGTGGCAAGGTCACGTCTGCTAACTGTCCTCTCCTAGAACCGGTCCATCAGAGAACGTTCACCCGGCAACATGACACATGTTCTGTCTGCCGGTTTGGAATTCTCCAATCCAAGCGAATAAATGAGACCACGTGGCGTTTGAAAACAAAAGAATGGTATTTTGATTGGTATAACGAATTGCCAATCACCACTTAAACAAATAATGACACGTAAAATAAAATTCATCCGAATTTCTTGAGCTGAGGGAATGCCATAGAAAAAGCTCAGGCACCTTTTAAAAATCAAGAATAATAATAAACACTTAAGCTTCATCTATATATATAAAGCAGAAAGTCTGTGTGTTTATCCTCTGATAACTCAGTCACTACTCTAGCTCTCGTCACCAAACTTTCTACAATTCTTTTCTGGGTCCTGGAAAAGGTCGACGTCCACTTTTTTCCGAAAAAAAGTAGCTAAAATCAGATATATTAATTAAAAACTCGAAGAAACGATCATTTCCGCCCTCATTTTTCCGAGTGGCAACAGTCTCGCAAGCTGGAGATGAAAATCTGCTTTATTTCGAAAGTTGTTGCCACTGCTCGCTTTCAAATCCTAGAGTTTGTTAATAAAAAATTTCGAAGTTTTACTATGAAATAAAAATAGCATTGCCAAACATTAAATACATTATTTTCCGATTCCCAAAATTCGTCGGAAGCCTTTTCGGCTGTTGCCATCTTCGTACGACTTTAATCAACCGAGATATTAATTAAAAACTCTGAAAGCGCTAATTTTCGCACTCATTTTTTCGAGTGGCAACAGTGTCGCGCATTGGAAATAAAAATGCTTTATTTCGAAAAGTGTTGTTACTGCTCGCTTTCAAATCGTAGTTTGTTAATCAAAAATTTGTAAGTTTTACAAAATCTGTGAATATAAAGAAGAATGCCTGTTTGTTGTTTGTTCGCGTTTTTGATTTGTGATCCATTATGATTACATTTAATCAACTAAAATTGAATATAGGTGAAATATTGCATGGAACTTGAGCTTTTTATATGACCATTTGATTAGACAGACGAAAATCATTAAAAACTGCGTGCCATTGTTGTTGATATAATGAGAGAGAATTAGCTTATTTTTGTATCGAAATTTTTTATCTCGGTTCCATATCGCATCAAACTGAAAAATATATGATTACGAATAGTATTTTTTGTATCGTTATTTGAGAAGGATTACAGCGCTATCGTTCTCTCTGTTATTAGATGCATTACTTTCAATCTAACTTAACTGGCATCGGGTACTTCCGCTAGTAATTAATAAATAAGACTTAATTTGTGTGTTAGGATTTCAAACGGTTAGAATAATCTAAACGGTGGGGTCTCGGTATAAATCCGGTTGAAATAGAGATCGGAATTTTAGTGTTACGCTGGTTAAAAAAATAATAGATTGGAAAACAAGGGAAACGCATACAAAAATTTGATTTCTTCTAGTACACTGGGCAAAAAAAGGGGGGACAGTTCTATATCTACCGTTTCATTGGGCCAATTGACGACTCAAATTATGCCAAATTGTCAAGTTTTGTAAAAATCGAACGAGTAGTTTTAAAAAAAATTATCTCTCAAAATTTTAGTTCCTCAATGTTAATTGAATTTGATACATATTTATTAATATCTATTTTTTTTATTAAACTTATTTGATTCTTGTTTCACATTTCGAAATTTAGGTTCATTCCAAATAAAATTCGCCCATTTTTTTATGATTTATTTTTAAAATTTGTATTTTTAAATAATTTTTGTAAATTTTTTGGCAAAAAAAGTTTTGAATTATAATCTATAAAATTTTTGCCATAATCTGAAAGTAGTACCTGCAAAAAATACCGATTTTATTCAAAATTTCCGAAGATATACGTGAATTTATATAATGGCGAGCATTAAAATTTGGCACATTTGTTGAAAGCGATAACATCATCAAATGTGGTTTAGGAACTTAGCTAAAATTATTTGAAAGTAGGAAAGATGCCACTTTTTTTTACGGTTATGCACAATGTAAAAAGGGAAAAGAAAATAGGTTGCCATAATACTAAAAATTCACCAATTATTCTTGGTGCAAAGTGAAAAAAGTGCGCCAAGGCAAATTTTTAAATTTTTTGGTAAGTTTTTCATCAAATTTTATAAAATTTAATATTTAGGCATAATTTGAGTCGTAGAATCTAAAATTTCCAAGACACTTTGTCTAAAAATTTTTTAGCGAAAAAGTTTCAATTGTCTGTTTCGGCGAAACGCGTAATGGGGTTAGCTTGATTCGACGTTCAAATAAATGAAATTTCCCTTGAAAAGCCTGTTTGGATGTCGAATTGGGCTAATTTACCATTTTCCGCTTACATTTTAACTTTTTCTGTTTTTTAATTTTATTGTATTTATGTTTTACATGTCTAATGATTTGCTTTTCATGTGTATTAATTTTTGAAAACGTCTTAAACCTTTTGGAGCAGCAGCTCTTGGTAACTTTTAGGCGAGCTTTCTTAATTTTTATTTTTTACTTATTTTGCAGCATATTGCGCAAGATGTTTTCTTGATCACAATTGGTTTTTCAAAAATTGTTATTACTGCTTTGCTTGATAAATTATATAAATCTAATATATATCCTAAGTCACGCTTGCCAGACATGAAAAACGCAATTTGAATTTCGTCAATCTGCCCAGTAGAACGGGAGATACAGAACTCTCCTATTTTCCCCCCCGCAGTGCAGGTATACACGTATGTTCATGTATGTACGTATGTATATAGGTATGCATGCATACATGCCGAAGAGGTAAAAGATATTTGGAAGTGTGACTTTTTTCCCGCTGATTCCCAAATTCAAAAAGGGAAAGGAAAATAGGTTGTCGTAAATTAAGAAATTCGCCAAGTGCCATTCTTGGTGCAAACTCTTCTTGGTTTCTTCTTGGTGCATTCGCCATTCTTGGTGCAAACTGGAAAAAAAATGCGCCAAGATAAATTTTTGAATTTCTCCGTAAGTTTCGCACGAAATTTTACAGAATTTAATATCTAGGCATAAATTTGAGTTGTAGAATCGAAATATTGAAAAAAAAAAAAAAAAAAGGCCTGTCGTTTCAGAAAAAGTTCGATTTTTGTGTCAAGATACCTATATTAGAACAATGCTATATATAAATATAATATATATCCTTAGTCGCGCTTTAGAGACATGAAAAACAGCTATTTCCTAGGACCCATTTTGCAACACTTTCTCCTAGGATAGGCCATTTCGTTATTCCTTTCCGCAAACCATATTCATGTTTTCGCTCATTAATTTGTGATACCTTTTTTTTTTCCACTCACGTACGGGAAGCTTTCACCAATACCAAACATCCTTGCTGCAGCACGATTTCCACTTCTTAACGACTCTTTTTAATTAGCATCTAATTTGAAACTAGCATTGCGTTTGTTTCTTTTACAAGCATACTGATATACCATCTTTACTACTGAAAGGAACCCTACATCAATTTTTTTCTGCTAAAGGAAAAGGGATTTATTAGAGTCTTCGATGTTCACTTTAAAATCTTCGATGTTCACTTTAAAATCACGGCTTCAAATGACTACAGAAAAAGAAAACACCTGATCGCTAATTCCACGAATTCTTTCGGGTCGGAAGTACATTCATATCCCAAATTATTTCCTCTTTTTCTCGAAACCCTAAAATAACATTCTTGTGCATATCTGCATTGAATACAACCTACCTTCTTTGCAGAGTTATCTACTCGCCTCAAGCATTCCCCCCCCCACACACACATATTGTACCCCTTTTCGCTTGTCAATTCTCCCGAAAACTACAGATATGTGAAATACAAAATAAAAATTGGTGTTTTAAAATTTAACAAAATATTGCCAGTCTGTTACTCGGTTCTCTGAGCTCAGTGTTTTTATTCCTATAGGTTGGTAAATCATGAATTTTTGCTGTAAAAGTGATTGAATAATGCTATTCTTATCTTCCGGTTACAGTTTTTAGGCCTTTAGTTAATCTGCGTGCAATAATTATAGAATTATCAGTAATTTAAAAGTTTAAATCTCTCTAGTGAATTAAAGCAGTTGCTGCACCAGCTGAAGTGTCTTTTTGTCCAGTGTGACCAAAAGTTAAAAATCTTTCAGTTTTGTGCATCGAAAATTTTGTCTTCCTGTCCGTTGGCGGAATTGCTTGTTTTTGCATAGAAACGCTAATTTTAATTGCAAATTTTTTTATATATATAGAGAATATATAAATGTTTTTAACTATATCTGGCGTTTTAGGTTTTTCTGTAATTTACAATTTTTAATGAAGTTTCAGTTTTTACGTATTTTTGCCTTGACGGGTAGCGAGAACCGAATTTATTGAATGAGAAATATATCTTTATTAATGAAATTTGAAGAAATAAGTTTAAATGAAGTGCAGCAAAAAACGTGCATAATTTAATATGCCGTACAAGAAAATCATGTGGTGCCCATAACAGATAGTTATTTAAAATATTATTTATTTTATTCCAAACGCACCAATCAGCCAACATCCGTTTAATTAGCATCTAATTAACTTTCTGCTTCGCAATCTTTGCTTATGAAATCATTACCCGCTTTGAAATGCCGCCCGATATTTTCCAGATGTTCCACCATACAGCATCAAAATATCGTTTTTCCGTTACATATAATGATGTATACGCTTGTACCAAACCCTTTACCCTATGAATAATATGAAATAATAATATGAAAGTAGTTATTCTATGACTCAATAAAAATCAAACTCGAAATCTTTCATCTTTTTCTGCAATTTCATGTGTTAAATATATTGGAGTAAAGTTCGCACGTACAGTCCGACTGCACGATTGCTTCCTAAGATGAAATCAGCAAAATTTGTCTGTTTTAAGAGCCACACTTACTTCTCTTCACATATTCTACGAGAATCTAAGTTAATTTATCAAATCAACAAAATCATCAAATCCTGGCATTCAACCACATAGGCAGGATATGTGTCTGTGTGCAATAATTTAGAAGCTGTTGACGTAGCCGAAGACAAATTTACAGTCTGATGGAGCTTGATGCATAAAAATGTTAGTCGTAGTGGTCGAATAATTCTGTATTCTTCAGAAACACGTTCGTAATAAGAATTACGCATAGTAATGGGCACAATCTTCATCACATTTTGTGCTACACATAGTAATGGATGCAGTAATTCGTCATATTTGTGCCTTTTCTACATCTTTGTAACATTTTATTTTCCGTGAGGAAAGAAGAACACAGCAGCCAGAAAGAAAATATGGGTTTAAGATAAAAAAGATAAAAAAAAACTTGGTTCAGAATGAATTAGTTTTAGTTCAGCTTTATTTTGATTGGTTAATTTTAAGTTTCGGTTTCACAAGTTGGAATGGTTATTGACTGAATACTAGAAGGTTTAAAGAGTTATATTATAAACAATTCCTATTTTCTGGACAGAAAGAGGGAATAACCAAATTAAAATAGAGATTTAATGCAAATTAAATGCTGGAATTTTGATATATGTATATGGAATTTCGATTTTCCATATACATACATCAAAATTCGATATGGAATATGTATATGGAATTTTAATGTAGTAAGAAATCTGAATATTGATATGATGAACTAAGAAAAGATTGAAATTACTTGAAAAATATATGCCAACCTTAACAATGCATCGGGAATTCTAAACATATTGTTACGAAATGTAAAGGTGCGGTAAGATGGCTTCGCCGCAAAGCAGTTTTAGGTTTGCCATAAAATGCTATGGGAAGGCAGGGTTGTCACACTTGGCGAGAAATCGCCCATTTGGCGACAAAATTGGCAATACACCATGGACGGTTGGAGAAACCTTCTGGAAAGAATTCTTACCGGTTTAGCCCAGAATGTTCTCGAACACAAGCCGAAAGCTACATAAACCCTGCTGGTCCGCAGTCAGTTAGTGTGTGCATCGCCTAGTGAGCTGATAGTCAGTCATTGAGCGAGTGTCTCGAAGTCTAGCGCCGAGTTGGTCGTCGAGTGCATCGAAAGAGTCTATTCGTGTATCGCGGTTAGTGCATCGTCGAGAGAGGTTTTTGAGCTCCAAGAAGAATTGAACCGAAGAGTCGGGAGCTGTGCTCTGCGTGTCGTCGAGTGCATCGCGAGTCGTAGCGTGGAGAGTCTGGAGAGTAAGTGGAGTTCCGAGAACAAGACTGTGTCGCTGATTGTGTCAGCGTGTGTATAGTAGTTCTTCGACGACTGTTAAACGTGACTTTGGAGCTTTCCTGATTAGTACTGGCTAAATAAAGTGTGTTTCGATATTTCATTAAGTACTGCCGTCGTTATTCACTCCAAATCCACACGAACACCGTACGGACGTGAAGGAACAAAAAACGCAACAGTATGCTGCTTTTGAAATTTTTGTAATTTTTCTGTTAAATTGTATACGGCGTAAGTGTGAGAAAAAAAAAGATGCTCAAAAATAAAGCTAAAAAGACAAAAAAGGGGGGTAGCAGGAATCAGTGCAACGGCAGACTCCGACCGGAGCAAGAGCGCCAAAAAAAAACCTTAACAAACCTATTTGGGTGACCGATACCTATCAATTTTTTTCCTTAACTTGATCTCGAATTGTTTTAATATTATTTATATACTATCTATTCAAGTGAAAAAATAAATATTACATATGTTTAAAAAAATACACAGAACCTTTTTCTTAAACAACCATCTACAGCTCTAGACCAGAGTTTCTTACACCGTTTGGGGTCGCTAAAATTTTTTAGCAATCTTGATATTTCTTTAACTTATAATAATTTTACAATTACCAAATATTTTTATTTAATGTACCTGAAAATAGATAAAGATAAGATAATACAGACAAAGGAAAAACGAAAACGTTTCGACGCAATTTTTTGTAATAGTAGAAACTTTTTTTTACTTTAAAAATTAAAGTCAATGGATAGTATATTGCAGTACAAGTGACGAAATTGATGGTTTCACTCATGAATGCGACTGATCTGCGCAATGCTTAGGGGGTCCACCTCTACATCTTCCTTTCCTCTATACCTTCTGCGTCCTCTAGTCCTCCTGCCTCCCTCCCTCTATCTCTTTATTCTCTTCCTCTCCTGCTTCTTTGGACGTGTTCTCTGCTACTACTTTCCGTGCTTGTTGCGCTCTCTACTCTTTTAGTCTCTCTGCTCTCGCTGGTGGCTTTGTCTCTCCTTTCGCTCTTTCCCTGTCTTCCTCTGCTCTCTTAAACTTAGACCGTGTTTCTTTTCCTATCTCTTCTTCTCTGTTCTATTTCTCCTCTCGGGCTCTTCGTTTCTCTGTGTCTCTTTGTGTTCTAGCACCCTCTACTTTTGTTTCCTTATCTAGGCTCCTCTCTTCCTATTGCTAGCTCTCTCTGTGGCTTTCCTTTTTATTTTCCCTTGCTCTTCTGCTAAGCCTCTTGGACTGTTATTGTGTGTATTCTCTCTCTTCATTCTCTCTGGCTGCTGCGTCTTTTCCTGGCTTTGTGAGGCTTGTTTTTCCTTTCGCTCGTCCATCGTTGTACTTCTCTTCTCGGCTGCTCTCTTCTGGTATTGGTCGGTCTCCTTCTCTTTCTGCGTTTGTTTTGTCTCGTTGGCTCCTGAATTTTGCTTTGATTTTCTCTCTGTTTCTCCTGCCTCTGTTTTTCCTCTTTTCTCGTTACTCTGGTCTGCTTCTTTGGCTTGGTCCCTTTTCTTTGCTGTTTCTGCCTTCTTGGGGCTAGACTTGCTTCCTCTGACTAGCTGTGATTGCCTTATCCTTGTCATGGCTACTTCCTTTTTTCTCTCTGGTTTTCGCTGGATGTTTTTTTTTCCTGCCTGGGCTTACTGGCGTGTCCTACTGTTCTTGTTTTTCCTCGATATCTCTCTAGCTGTTGCTGGGTGCTGGTGAGGCCTACCTGCTTTCATTAGGCCTAGCTACCCTTTCCTCCTCTCTGTTCTCCTCTCTTGCTTACTCTTCTCCTGAGATTTTCTTCGCGTCACTCCATTTCTTGCTGAGTCTAGCTTCGTACTGGCCGTCTCTCGCCTCTCTACTTGCTAGCTTGGTTCCTTCTATAGCTGCTCTCGTTCTGCCTCTTCTGCTTGTCTGTCCCTTTCCTGAATCTTGGGGGCTCGGCCTTCCCTTTGGGCTCTTCTCTCTCGTGTTCCGTCTGCGTCTCTCGTTTGGGCTTTGGCTGGCTAGTATTCTTATCTTTGTTCACTGGTCTCTGATGGTGACTTGTCTTTTTCTTATCTCGTTGAGCTTCTACTTTCTTCGCTCTTTTGGTCGTCCTCCTTTCTAACTTGCCGCCTTTCCCTCTCTTTACGCTGTTTTAAATGCCCTTGTGTCGTAGTTGCATGGGGCTCTCGTGGGTCCTTCTTTTCGCTCGGAATTGGCTCTTTTGGTTGCTTCTCTGCTTCTTTTTTGCCTGCTGTTTTTCTTACTCTTGCTCCGCCCCTCCCTGCCTTGGCTCGTCTACTCCTGCGGTCCTCATATTTGGCCTTCTCTGCTACCTTGAGGCTATGTTCCTTCCTCGTCTTATCTTGGCTCTCATGGCGTTTCCCCTACTACTCCTCTCTGGCTTCTTCGAGGAAAGTGCGCTCGGTTGGACGTATTCCTCTCCTGTCTTGCTCCTGCCTGCTTCCGCTTAGTCACTCTTGGCTCTAGGTTGCTCTTGTGGTACCTTTCTGTTCTTCTATTTGATCTCTCTCTATTGTTCCTTTTTTCGTGTCTCTGGATTTACCTTTGATCTCTTCCTTTTCTTTGGTTTGTCCGTGCCTCTCTTCCCTCCCCTGCCGCTTTTCTTTCTCTACTCTGTCTCCTCCTTTGTCTTGTGGTCCTCTGTCTTCTTTCTTCCGACAAATTTTCTTTACATATTATAAGGGTTGCCACACACAAAAGTTTAAGAAACCCTGCTTTAGACGATTCTGGTCTTTCTGGAGACGATCGCCTAAGAGAATATGAGTTTTGTGATGCTCAGCCTTATTCCAATATGTTTCCGTACATACTAGTCAATTTCAGCAGGGGTCGTACACGGATGATAATCACGAGAACGGTATCACAGTATATTGCACATAATAATTAATTAATTGCATAGATTTTACTCACATCTTCATCGTACAGGTTGTTTTATATTAAGCGCTCAACAATTTTTATTACATTCTTTCACAAAATAACAACATTTTAAGATGAGTTCAACAGCAATCGTCGCTATGGAAGACTTTGCCCTTATCCACCGCAAATCAAACTACATCCCGATAAAAAGCTTTGCAAAACGACTCCTCACAATTGAGAAAAGTGTACGAGCATTTTTTACAATGGGAAAGATAAGATTTCGGACTGGAAAACACTTTTTACGGCGAACCTATGGGCGGAAACCTATGTCTCTTTCAATGAAAGTTAGACTACCTCTTTAAATAAAAGTTTCAAGTGAAAGTAAGCATATGGAATTTAAGTACAAATAAATAATTCTACCACATCTTCCAAACAATAAATACGCGAGTAAAAATCTTAAAAAGGAAGCCATCCAGAAAGCTTATATCCAATCAAACTGCCAAAACTGCTGAAAGCAAATTAAAAATAAATTTTAATTTTAATTTTAATTTAAATAATAAATAATAAAAATTTATAAGTAATTTAAATAATAAAAATTCCAAGTTTTAAATAAAAAATATAATAATTTTTATTACTAATAATAATAATAAAAAACTGTGCAAGCAGTTTTAATATAAAATAATAATAATAATTTTATTATTAATTTAAATACCATAATTTAAAACTGCTGCAAGCAAAATAAAAAATAATTAATAATCTTTTATTATTAATTTAATAATAATAATAATATATAAAACTGCTGCAACAAGTTTTAAATAATGAAATTATATTTTTATTATTAATTTAAATAATAATAATAATAAAACTGCAAACAAGTTTTAAATATGAAAATAATTAATCATTTTATAATTTAAATAATAAATATAATAAAACTGCTGCAACAAGTTTTAATAATGAAAATATTAATAATTTTTTATTAATTAATAATAATTAATAAAAACTGCGGCAACAATTTAAATAATAAAAATATAATAATTTATTATTAATTAAATATTTAAATAAAAACTAAAACTGCTGCAGCAAGTTTTAAATAAGAAATAATTAATAATTTATATTATTAATTTAAATAAAAATATAATAAAAACTGCTGCAAACAAGTTTTAAATAATGAAAATAATTAATAATTTTATTAATTTAAATAATACTACTAAAAATAAAAATAATAATAATCTGTATTATTAATTTAAATAATAATACTAAATACAAGCAAGTTAAATTAAAATGCGTCTATGGGAATCACAACTTTTCGGGATGTTTTTGTACCAGACTTTTAAAGGTATCTTTCTCCTATAAATATACTTCCGTTTCTGATAAAATCAGCTAGTGACCCAGATTCATTAAAAATATCTCATTTTTTAAAAATTTTTTATTCGGGCAGTGTTTGTGGACACCGGATTTCAGTCACTCTTCTGGAATAATTCTTTAATATTCCTGGCATTAATCTATGAATTAATTTCACTAGTTTCTCTATTACGCCAATGGCAATTTGATAGTGTGTTCTTACACACTATCAAAGTTTCTTTATCTTATCTAACAGACGCTTCATTGAGACTTTGTAGTTCATTAGTTAAAACAGACTTTCTGAATTTCTGGTGTCATTAAGATTTTTTAAAGCGGATCATGTTAAAAACATGCAATGCCCTTGCCGGGATTCGAACCTGCACATCTCGAATACGCGCCGAGTGTGTTACCGTTAGACCACGAAGGCACGCAGAAAGGAGGTGGAAAATACCTTATAAATGATGCACCTTTCTTCCCTCTCACACGATCAATTATATATTTCTTTAAAAAATTTCAAGATTTTAACTATTTCAAGACCAAGTTTACATTATTGTCATTACCATTAAAACTTATGTGAATAACGAACCAGAAAATATACAAATTGAGTAAATTAATTTACAGTGTGATTAAAGTTTTACTCAAAGGTTTGAGAACACAAATTTCAGTAACTTTTATTTGTATTTGTCACAAAATAAGTACGCCCAGTTACGAATTTTTCACTAAGCATAATAGGTTTGGAATTGTATTTATTTGTGGACAGCCTTTCTTCACATTTGAAAATCAATATGAAAAGACTCCGTTTACAATGAGTGGTGGAGATTTTCTCCCGTGCAAGAACATTATACAAAATTTATAATTATTCACATACAAACATTTTAATTTATGTGTCGAGGAAAACTTTAATAAATGAGATAAGGTTGCCATTATTTATTCTCAAGTTTTTCCCCCCTCCCAATTTGCAAATTTTTTATAATTTATTAACCAAAAGGAGTCTAGCTCGGACGAAGGGCTATTAATCTCCAAAGAGCATTTTGTGGAGTTTCACTATAAACAGCGAATCACTTTTTAAATTGTTGCCACCACATATTACTGCCATGTATATGTGGTGGCAACACATATACATGGCGATATTTAAGAAATTAAATAATGAAGAATCTGCATCAATGTATGTATCTTTCTCACACTGTGAAAAAACAACGGTACTTAGAGCCATCCCATTCTAAATAACGTAATCCTCCACCCGAATATGGGCCCGAATGCTAAATTTGGAATTTATTTTATGATCTATTTCATATTTTGTAACTTTCTGATTAACGACCTCAACCATTTCAAAGCGAGCAATGGCAACACAGTACGAAAAAAAAAACACTTTTCTCTCCAGCGCGCGAGACTGTGTATCGCAAATTCTAAATGTATGCTGTTTTTAAATATTTTGTGATATTGCTGTTGAATTGAATTTTATGTGGTGTAAGTTCGAAGAACATGATGCTTAACACGCAAAACGTTAAAAGAAAAAGTCCCTTTGGGCGTAATATAAAATCTCAAATCTTTAAGATTTTATTTTTAAAGTTATTAAATAATTAATTAAACATGTTAGAATTTGTTTGAAACAAACGCTACTCTAGAAATTTTATATTTAGCTAAATTTCATATATACTAAAAATTTCATTTTGTCAATATTGAATTACATATTGACCGCCTACAAAATTATCTTGCATGTAACTAAACTTTAGATTTGAGGTTATTTATAAAATAAATATAAATATAATTTTTTACCTTTGCGTTATTATTGTTATTGATTGTTTATGTGTAAGATCTTCTTGCTTATCTTCTAAGTGACAACTGTACGTGTAGTAAGTACCAGTAAGAACTGCACAGGAGAAAGGTTAAAAGTACCCTTTATTAAGCTCCTTAAAATTCACAATGCGTCGACTTGACGCTAACACACTACGCCTCACTCGGGCGATAACTCAATTAACAAGAACTAAAGTAAAAATTCGAAGATATTAACAAGTAGTATCAATTACTCTACAGGGCTCAAATAATCCTGTTACTTAAAACCGCGTCGAAATCTAGTGGCACCAAACTAATAGCTATTATGCCACGCAAATCAGCAATAACTGCAGAAATACTGGGTTGAAACATAAGCAATGGCCGTTTGCGTTGTGTTTAAAAAAGCTTTCCCTCTAAAAGATTGATTTTTTTGTCTGAGCTAAATTTTGTTATTTTTCAGATCATTAAAATGGAGTGTCAAGTCGACAAAAATAAGCATTTTTGACACCTTCCTTTTGCGTTTAATCGAGACGCCAGTGATGCAGAAGCTCGCCGAGAGATTTGCGAATTGTATGGAGAAGGTGCAATGCTTGAACGAACTGCAAGAAATTGGTATTGC